ACATGGCTCCATGTGACCTTTGGCTATTTCCCAAGATGAAAATGCCGCTAAAAGGAACCCGAATTTCGTCGAGAGAAGACATCGTGCGGAATCCGATGGACCGGCTGATGGCCATTCCAAAAGATGCATTCCAGCAGTTTTCCAGCAATGGCAGGAACGCTGGGAGAAGTGTATACGCTACCAAGGAGACTACTTTGAAGGGGATTAGGGTTTTGTACCTCAAAGTCAATAAATTTATTTTTGCCGACCAAAGGTTCGATACTTTTTGAACACACCACGTATATAAAAGACTGTTTTTCTAAGTAATCTAGAATCTAGCTGTAAGGACCTGCTTTGCTGGGCAAAAAGTAACGATAGTGAAGATTAAGATAATTACATTATAGCCAATCTTACCCGTTTTCATAGAATGCAAGAATTAGGTCCCCCGTTTCCAGACTAATTAGAGAATTTTTACGAGCCTAAAAATATGTTCGATTTCCCGCAAAAACGCAAAAAACTGCCTGTAAATCTTGCATGCCGCTTTATATTAACACTTCCCTTGTTACTCAACACTTCCATTGTTACACATTTTCGAAGTCAACCACTTTCAACTCCCATATTTCCCACACCCTTATAGCTATCGAGATGCAACCACCATAGTGCACGAATGGAGACTTGGGGCTACTACCACATACAAACACCATTCATGTGCGATGTGTAGTTTTGGCTGAAAAGTGAAATATAGGGACACACACGTGCATTTTTATATATAGGCCCTATATATAGATATAGATTATATCCCATATGAAATTCACACAGCCATATTCTATACTTTAATTAATGAGGATTTCACAAATATTTTGAGTTATGGCAATCGACCGAATTGTATAATTTGTATAGTAACGATAGTGAAGATTAAGATAATTACATTATAGCTAATCTTACCCGTTTTCACAGAATGCAAGAATTAGGTCCCCCGTTTTCACAGAATGCAAGAATTAGGTCCCCCGTTTTCACAGAATGCAAGAATTAGGTCCCCCGTTTCCAGACTAATTAGATAATTTTTACGTTTAGTCAAACGAACTATTTTCAACGTTTCTGGAACGTTTACAATCGTTCTATAATTGAACCAATATTCAAATTTTATGTTCGAATTTAATTCAAACAAAACATATGAAATAGAAAGCCACTTTCAACCACTTTCAGCTTCATATCTCCCGCACCCTTATAGCTATTGAGACGCAACCACCCCTATGCACGAATGGAGACTTGGGGCTACCACCACATACAAACACCATTCGCGTGCAATGTGTAGTTTTTGCGGAAAAGTGAAATATAGGGACATACATGTCCATTTTTATATATATATATATAGATGAAATGTGAAAGAGTGATCTTTGAAATAGACTAGTAATAAAAATCATGAAGTCTGTTTTCAAACATGCACAATTTCTAAAAAGGTTAGTGAAACATGACACCTAAAACATCCATCCTGACATTCAATTTAAATTTTTTCCCACTATGACTTGCACGAGATTGTTTGTCATCTGGATGTTTTAGAATGTATTAACCTTCCTTTTTCTTGTATTAAAATGAATGGAAGTATGGTTGGATTGATTCAGTATATAAACTTTATTAAAATGCTTTTAAATGAAAGCAATTATATATATATATAACTATCAGTATACATGGTAGATTGGTTTTGTATAAACTGAAATGTAAATTAAGTAACATTGAAGGTTCCGTATTTCCCATATAAAACGACTGTCTACCTATTTATCCTTAATCTATCTACCTTATATAAGGATTAAACTGTATAAATTGAGGGTTGTGTGTATTAATAATCTTAAATGTGTGCATATTATTGTTTAATTGTAAAATAAAATATGAAACATGCTGTAAACACAATTCTACAATGTAAGTTAATTAGTAACAAACAAAACATTAAACTGTTAAAGTATTTACAAATTTTATGATGAACTCAGGATATTTTTCCAATTTTAATTATAAATTAGAAGTTCAGACTATTTACAAAAAATTATATAATTTATGAGTCTATCAATTAATCCTTTTCTCGCACCATAGAAGTACACCTTTTACATTGGTATTGAAGAAATCACTTCATAAAAAACAATTAACAATAGGTAAACATTCACATCATCTAATTTATAATTAAAACTGTTAAAGTATGTTTATTTTAATTCTTTAAAACATTTTTAAGAAGAATTTGATTGAAATTCAAATACGAGAACATATATTTAAAATTCATTTCAGAATGAAATATAACAAATTTCATAATATATTGTAGAAATATTGGAAATCTGTGCAAAGATAAAATGTCTAGTATTTGTTTCAAAGCATTGAATGCTGTAGTGTATTTTTCTTTGTTGGTCATGTTTTGAATTTTACATTATTTACAATAGATGTAGATATTTTGCACTCAATTTCTGGGAATGATTTGAGTTCAGTCCTGCCCTTCCTATTGGGTGTCTAGTGGGTACCTATGTTGAAGAACATTATTGAACAAATCTAAGTCACTCTGCTTCTGGAGAAATAGGATATGTTAACAAGGGATGTGATGCTGTTAATTAAAGAACTTGTGCACAATTTCAACATTGCTTCATATATCTTTGTCTCACTATTGTCGAGAATCTCTTTTGCACCTTTACCATCAGCCACCCTCAATTTCTGTCTCAGTGAAACAAAATGGGTCACTTGTGATACAGCTTTATGACTAGCTCTGTCAATGCTTTCACTTCAATGTTCAGTTCTTTCTGTATTTCCTTTGTTATTGAAAACTCTGTATACTTTTACATGTGCATTGTTGTAGTTATTTACAAGTTTTGTTGTTATAAACACTACAAGGGCTGGAATTTACAAACAAGTAAATGATGATGTATGAAATTTTATTTTTTAATGTTGCTTCAATGTCCAAAATGATTTTTCAGTTTGATTCATGGCTGTCTCCCTCATCAGTGGCAAATGTGTTTAAAAGTAGTGCTCACATATTTCATTCATGCCAGTTCATTAAATACTGCTCAGTCATGAACACACACCAGTCTGATACTCTGACTTTTTCTAGCAGCAAAAATTGAGACTATATTCCTGTAGACTTCCTCTGTTCCTAGTATAAAATCTCTCTAAAGCTATCCAATAGTTCATTTTTCATCTCAACTGTGGTATTACATGCAATTGAATTAACTTGTGTACTTCATAGAATGAAACTTGCACAGCAAGACTCTTGAATTTGAGAATACACTGTATATTACTGAAATCTTGGTAAAATTCTTGTCAACAAGGATCATATCTGGGATATCTGTACAGATTTATCTGAAATGTTTATACAAGCTGTTAAAGTACAGGTGTCTCCTCAGTTAAAAATGCAACTGCAGCAATTTCTGACAATCCTTTCAGAGTGCATAATAGCAAAATACCTTGTAATTTTCAATATTGAAGCTGAGTGATGCATCAATTTCAATAGTGGAGGTTTTGCTTTCCTACAGTTCACTATTATTCCAGATGAGGCCAGAAACAACATTGGCTACCATTGAATTCTATGCATTGACTATTAACAATTCACATGCACTCTCCAAATTATTGGATTTAACTTTTCTTGTTTTTGATAAGCAATTGTGTGATTATTGTCTAAATTCACAGTTGTCACTTTTGTTGTCCTTTTGATCAGTATAGATTTATCTTGGCTAGACACGTACCCATGTCGAAATACTTGACAAATACCATGACATTTGTAAACATCTTGATGTTTATTATTAATAGCAGTCACAAATGGATTATTGCAAAATGCAGTAAAATGCTCTTAAATGATTGACTTTGCATGTTAAAACCAGTGTTGCCCAGAAAGTTTCATCAGAATTATTCTAAAAGTTGTGTGAAAAATTCTAAGATGTTCTCATAATAATAAAAATAATATACTGATCCCTAAAAATCCTTATAATTATTTAAATGTAATGAAAATAAATATTTTCCATATAATGTGAATTTAATAGAGAGTATATTGTGTATATACATGGTGCAGCAGAAAGGACAGGCATTTTTTAAACAATCACAACATCTGTAATTGTTACTACAAAAGATATTTGTTGGAAGATGTGAGTTCATATTGAAATAGCATTTTACAGAATCAAGTGTGGAAAACATCATCTCCCATATGGTGTCCATTATCAGTGATGCATTTCTGGAGGCGAGTTTGGTGACTTGCATGAATAGCTTCCTTAAGTTTTTGCAAAGAACGGGCTTGTGCTCGTATACATGTGTCTTGAGGTGTCCCCACAAGAAATAATTGCACATGGGATAAGTTGGGCAAACGAGGAAGCCAACGAATGTCACCGAACCTGAAAATGAGGCAACCAGGGAAGAGATGATGAGTAATGTCAATTGATGTTTTAGTTGTGTGGGTCGTTGCTCCATCCGGTTGAAACCACACATTTGATGGGAATACGTTTCCATCATACACAAGGATGCAGAAACGTATACACTGTTTTCTCAGTCGCACGCAAACACACGGTGTTCTATCATCCACAGCTCTATGCCTTCAACTGAAAAGACAATGCTAAGACTTCACTACTTTCCTGCTACCTGCCACATGTCACTACACCTGGTGGTGAATTCTAGTCATTTCAAAAACATTTGACCTTTCTGCACCCATGCTACCCACCTGTATTAGCAGTTGATTGTGCTACATGACTGCTAGTCAGTCTATGACAAAAATTAGTTCTTATGAAATAGATTCGTACCAATAGTCAATCATCTAAAATTTTTAAATTAGTTTATTACTGTGTAGTGAGCATTTTGTATCCAGTTATAGTATTTAAACAATGTTGAAGTATAATTATGCTTGTTGGGCATAATTTATTTTTGAATTCTTTAAATTTCACTTGTGGATACTCGTGTTTTCTTTTACATGGTGTTTACAATTGCAATATTGTTTCTTTTCTGTAATTGTCTAAATACATAGAATTTCATTAAGATAAACAACAATTAAATTATTTTAAAATATTTTTTTATAACATACCTTTATTTTCTTTCAGAATCGACATTACATTTAGTTTTGCGACTACGTGGTGGCGTAATTGAACCCAGTCTTCGTATCTTGGCTCAAAAATACAATTGTGATAAAATGATATGTCGCAAGTGAGTATTTTTGTTTTATACTTTCAGCAAAATTTACCTGTATTTATTTACCCTTTAAATATATATATATAAAGTAAAAAAAAAAAATACTTGTATTGTGATGTTATAATTTGCCAAACTGATGATAAATCATTTCTTTGCTCTAAGCTACTGTATTGTTATTTGTCATTCATAGTTTAAATCTGTTTTTGACATGATGTCATATTTGTATTTGACAGCTTTTAATAGAGGTTGTTCTTTGAGAAAAGCATTGTTAACGTAGTGAGTATTATTCATAAAGACAACCTACTATATAATAGCAACAGTTGAAGGAAAATAGAAAAAATGACTGACATGTGAACAAAGAAAATGCTAATTTTGACTTCAAATTGTAAATTTTGATTTTCTGTACAATATTTTTCTTTCTTTCCCTTCATATTAAATTTATTCTCTCTTGTTCATTAGTACTTACATACAAGTATCTGTATTGTTCTCTTTTATTAAATTTGCTTTGATAATTATTTTGTATTTAATGTATATACTGTGTGACAAAATATTTATATTAAACGACTAACTAGATATGTTTTGAACATCACACTTAAGGAATTAACATTGATATCAATGATAGGACAATATTTTGATTGTTGTCAATAAGATTAAGTTTATTAACTACATTGATATAATAAGATTGATCCGTTCTAACACATTTCATCATTTTTTTAAAGATGTAGTGATGGTATCTATGCTTTTTGTTTAAAATCTAATGGTCAGTTATGTTGCATGAGCTGCATCATTGACATTCCTGAGTTAATGTGGCTTGGAAGTGATGCTTTGGCTACACTTGTACAAAAATTATAATTGCTTAATCAGGAAAACATCTACTTTCTTGAGATTTTGTATGATGCAGCCTGATCATATGGTCCTTATGCCAGAAAAAACTGACTAAGATCTTGTTTATTTTCAGTAATTAATTTTGAATATTTTAGATATGTTTTAAATTACAACTTTGACTAAAAGCGCTAATCAAAGAAGCTTTTAATCATTGAATAAGTAAAGTTTAGAATTATTTGAAATTTTTCATAGTTATAAAAATAAATTTGATTCCCTTATTAACACTACTAAAAAGAAATTTATGAGTAAAATTGTTTCATATTTTCTGTGACCTATATTTTTACTTTCCTGGCTCTGTTATATGTAACAGAGGAAAAGTATGGTGATTGGTCAAAAATGGCCCCCCCAAGATTTACAGTTTTGGACTTGGGACCTTAAAATGTCAAGAAATTCAAAAAATTTGGGGGTTTCTGTATATATGGGTATGTGTGTGTGGAGGGACCATGATTTTGTTACTCTCTTTGAAGCTCATAATCATCATCTGCTGACAATTGCTTCTCTTCTTGCATGCTAAACATGCAAACCATTTCTGGATTGGATTGTCATCGGAGACAAGAAATGGATTCTTTGTTAACATCAAATGCAAAAGAAACAATGGCTAAGTAGGGGATAAACACCACCAAAACCTGGACTTAATGCAAAGATGATGATGCATTTTATTTGGTGGGACATGAGGGGGGTGGTTCACTTTGAACTTCTTAATCCAAATCAGACTGTCACTGCTGATCTTTACTGTCAACAGTTGATCAATTAAATCAATCTTTTTCAGTTTAAAAAAAAGACATTAATTTCTTGACAACCAATAGATTCAATATTATGACATTAATGAATATTTTCCAGTCAATTTTTGTTGGAATTTAGACATTTTTATTTCAAATGTTGACTAGAAAGATGATTGTATTGAATGAAAATTTTTTACAAAAGCATTTTGGTTTTAAATACTAATAATAGTGATAGACCTTGAAAATATAATGTATTAGTATGAGCCACAAACATGGTACACTTTGAATTAATCACAACTAGGACGAGCTGTGTGTCAGAGTTCCGTGACAATAGAAATTTCTAGGGGAAAATGTTACAAGAAAACAGCTTTTAGTGAGACTCATTCATTGATGACTATAAATTATAATGTCAAAATGCTGAATATATCTAAATGATTCTTTTTATTGTGTGACAGCTAAAACTATTTCAACATTTCCTCAGAACATCATAAATAAATTAGGAAGGAACAAAATGCTTTTACACTACTTTGTTTGAATTTTCTAAAAATATTGTTAAGTTAATTCTGACTAGAGTTTATATATATTTGATCTTTTTTAACTTATTAAAAAAATTAACTCTTTCAGGTGTTACGCCCGTCTGCATCCCAAAGCCACTAACTGTCGCAAGAGGAAATGCGGACATTCGAACAACTTGCGCCCTAAGAAGAAGATCAAGTAGTTCGTTCATAATTTGAAATGAAAATGTAATTTCTTGAATTCAATAAATTGAATCTGAATTTAACTTGCATTATTGGTCTTGCTTCTTGTTTTGGCAACGACAAATGTTTCCAAGAAATTTAATTTTTTAAAGGCAATATATATGGTAAACAAATTTAGTCATGTTTGACAAATTTAAGTAACATTACTCGTGCACACAGTTTCAACTTTTGGACTTCATGTTTTCGGCCAACAATAAAAATTTTGAGCTATAGTACAGTGGTATTATCTTCCAATTTTAGTAACTGCGAGATAGGGCTTTACTACTTTATTAAGCATTTTTATTTTAGCTTTTAGGGAATGGAACCGTCTCTTTATAATATGTATTTTATTGTTTTGTTTTCAGACATTTTTAGGAACAAATTAATCTGAAAATCATGAACGGATTGTATTCAATAGCATAATATTTACATTAACTGATGAATTAATTTAAACATTAAGTGGTAGCATCATCTGTGGGAAGCAAGCATTATCTATATATGGTGTTTATTAAAGTTTAATACAGTTAATNCCTCCGCGTGCAACACCAGAAGGGAACGTCGATACAGAGGAACGAAAATGGAAGAACACGGAGAAGATTCCGAGACGGGAGACAACGTCATGACGGTGTTCGAAAGCAAATTAATGGTGACTAGTCGTTCTCCCCACAACCACGAGTCGTCGAGATGACGTATATGGTGTTTATTAAAGTTTAATACAGTTAATATGCTTTTAGATCTTTCTATTCTATATTAAATTAATAATAATAGACTTATAACAAGATACCAGATACTTTCTGTATTTATGTTGCTAAGGGTAAGTTAAAGTAAATCATAAATGATTTTGTACAAAAATAATAATAGGGTGGTAGAGATTATACTAATGTATAATAGGTGATGAGTCAGAGTGAAATTATTTTGAATCAGTATTGTTATCAGAATATAGTCACATAAGCAATGTTTGCATTCAGTGTTGCTTAATTATTAATAGTATAAATATATCTAAATATTAGTGCTTTGCATAAAATATATTGATTTACACTTTATATACAGTAATTTATGTAATACAAATGGAAAGGTAGATATTATTGACTTTTACAAATGTTTTGGAACAAAACCACACAATTTTTACATAAAATCAACAACTATGTGCTCTCTTACTGTTACATGTTACACATATAAGTAACAAAATTTTATATTATTAACATTATAGAATTAATTCCTGATGTTATATTTTGATTTCTGCATTTCTAGTAACATCAATTTTTCTGTAAAACTTCTTTATGGAGATTAATTATAAATGGTATTCACAATTTGTTTACAATTTATTACATTAGATTGTTGCAGGTACTAATAAGGTTTAACCAGAACTGTTATTAGCAGACACTAGGGAATATTCCTTCCTATTGATTATTTTTTATATTTCTATTGCTAGTTTGTTACTTTATAAAAAAACTTGTGTCGTTTGACCATTTTCTTTAGTTATTGTATTATTTTTAAAAAATTACATTGGGGGTTTCTGTATATATGGGTATGTGTGTGTGGAGGGACCATGATTTTGTTACTCTCTTTGAAGCTCATAATCATCTTCTGCTGACAATTGCTTCTNTTTATATTTCTATTGCTAGTTTGTTACTTTATAAAAAAACTTGTGTCGTTTGACCATTTTCTTTAGTTATTGTATTATTTTTAAAAAATTACATTAATTAATAATCAAGGATTAGATGTATGATATTTTTACTTCTTTATTGTATGGTTTTATTACGTTAAACCTTCAGAAATTTATTGCGACAAGCATTATACTTGGTCTGTTTGCAGATAATTTCTGTACTTGTGTTGTTTCCTCAAGTTACTGTTAAAGCAATACATGAAACACTTTGGTGAAGGATTGATAAGGGAAGGATAGTTTATCTTTTTATAAAGTTGAATATGTTTTAAATTATAGCATTTTCCAGAAAAGAAATTTGTAAAAATATTTACATGTTTATTTTATTGGTGAGATGGAATTCTGGAGACAATAAATAAAAGAATTGATAATCAGACCACTTTATCCATGCAAATATCATGTGCAAATCATTTAAGTCTCATTAGAGAAGCAAATAAATATCCTGAAAAATAGAAAAACAACTTGATTTTAAATGTATAAAAGAAACAAAAGTGCATTTTCAGTTATAAAAGTCATTCATTGTAAGTGCATGGAAGATGAATTTTCCAACTTACAAAACATGGCACTGGCAGCAGCTCTAATTAATTAATTCACGATTCAAACGTCACAAAACCTGCTGCTTAAGAAAATGGGAATTGTGGTGGTAGAGAGAAAAGCAATAAAACCAAAAATGCTTATTATATTCTAATCCTTGCAGAGTATTGTTTTGGTGCCTAAGATAAAAGCAAAAATACCTGAATTCAAAGAATATTAAATATTTGTTGTACAGAAGAATTTTTTCGCAGTACTTGGAGACAAAGATTGCCTCTTCAAAGGTAAGATTTCCTCATCAATTAGGAACAGGAAAGGGAAGAAAAACAGCAAATCTTATAACATTTTTATTGATAAGTTCTTCTAAATGGCGTTATATTAATGCGTAATAATTATAGAAGCAAACTTTTTAAAACTATGTATAAGCAGATTTTAAAATCGCGTTACAAGCAGTTCTAGACTTTCGGACAACTCCCATTCCTTATATGCTTCATACCCTTAATAAATACGTTTTCGTTCGTCAATTCGGGCATTTTGCCTATTGATTTTAAATTGTCGTCTTAGCTCCGGAAGTATTTTATTATGTCTGACTGTTCCGGACTGCCTGTATATTAAAAAATTCACATACCAAAAACGGTGGCGAAAATATACAAAGATTATACACACGTCCTCAGTTTACAGTTGTAAAAATAAATACATATTTACAAAAGCTTAGAAACGAATTAAAAGTATTGTCGAAAAATAAAACTGCGGAGGAATTACGAGATTCGATAGAAATCCGTATTTTTATAAATAGCGCAAGATAATAAGAGTTTGCCCATTTCTTCTTCCTCTCCTCCGGGTAGAAATTCTTTGGAAAGTTCTCTGAAAGTCATGGCCAATCGGCGAGAATCCACGTGTTTTCGGTGTATGGCGTGATACCAACGGATACGAGCCTCCGCGTGCAACACCAGAAGGGAACGTCGATACAGAGGAACGAAAATGGAGGAACACGGAGGAGATTCCGAGACGGGAGACAACGTCATGACGGTGTTCGAAAGCAAATTAATGGTGACTAGTCGTTCTCCCCACAACCACGAGTCGTCGAGATGACGATCGATGGACGATCCTCTTTCCGGAACGTATTCTAAGTTGCACAGTTCTACCGGTACGAAGTCGCGTAGTAACGGGATTTCTTCGAAACGTTTCGCTAAAAACGAAACGAAATGAGGGAAACCTTGGAAATTTCCTATTTTCACTTTCTTTTTCTTAAAGTTAACTTTGGGCCCGAAATCCTGAAACGTAAAATTAAGATTATGTGAAAGCGTAAAGAAAATTGAGTTTAATTTCGAATTAAAATATATGTATTTGTACATTACAGACAATTTTTCAATTAATGTATAAAGTGCAGGAAGAAAAACCAACTTTTAAATAAAATTGAAACCTCATTTGAGTTCCGGTAGCAAACCGGGAGTTTCCAGATTAGGTACAATTATATTTAATTCGGAATTTTATCCGCTAGGGGATGTCGTGAAGTTCAGTTCGGACGGTGAAAATACAATACATAACTACTTAAATCATTTGATTAGAGTAACAAATTTTTATCATTACAAACCTGCTTTCGCCTTCCAGACTGAGAAGGAATCCAAGGAATATTATCGATCTCTTTCGTCACATTTTGTTCTTCCGCTTCCGTTACGAAATCGGGTATCAACATTATTCCATCTACAGTTAAAGACTCTTCTCCCGAGTGATTCGGATGATTCTGAGCAATTTCGTACGGATTTTCATTTTTCCAGGCACGATTACAGAGATAACAATATGCGTATTCAACCTAAGGAAGTCATTTAACAATAAATTTGGCAATAAATCGTGAAAAACAGAACTTATCACTTACATTTTCAGAATCTGTGCCAGGTCTGTGTAATTCTTTCTTCTCTTTTTCGCAAATGAGGCAAACTCTTATTCCTTTACAAGCACAACTCATTATTTTACCTCGTTAATAACAAATACATTAAATAAACGGAGAGAAAAAATCAACAAACACGCTTCGTTTCTTAAAAACATACCAAACACATTCACTCATCTGAACCACGTGTTAATCTTCTTATAGTGTTGCCAGTTTTCAATAGATAATTTAGAAATAAATAATACTTAAATATAATTAATTAAATATTTTAAATTTTTAAGTGTTTGTAAAATTTTAATATAAATAATAATAATAAATTATTTAATGCATACAAATTTTAAATGTTAGTTTTTTAATGTACTGTACGTTTCTATGATGGTGGTCGGATAGCAGCTTCAGAAGACAAATTTACCGCTTGAGGGATCCAGGATCGCATCAGGTTCATTATAATTTATTTTGGATGGTTCGAATCGGAGAAAATTATATAAAAAAAATATTATACTCGGTTACATTATGAATTAAAGATTTTATTTGACTAATTTAATTACACGACAGCTTACACTGTATTTACATATAATTTGGTGTCGGAACCAGAGTCGCGTTATGAGTCTCGATCCTGGATGCCCCAGAGCACCAGTTTAACGATTTAAAGAAAAAATTAGAAAGCAAAAAATTAATCTTATTGAGCAAATTTATGGATTAGGAGATTACGTGAAGCAGGCAATGCCCAATTTCTTAGAGAAGAGAGAAATAAATTCTATCACCCTGCTCACCCGCCATCGTTCAAGAAGTCGCGCTGTTGCCCGCGCTTCTTAAATTAATGAATTGCCATATGATTGCTCGGTTGTTTCCCTTCCAGAACAAGAATTTATGAAGGAATGTCGTCTGAGCTTCCACCAAATTGTTCTTTCATAAGATTCGTAAATGATCTCTTTAATAAAGATTCGCGTGTAAATTTGCATAGTTCATGATGCTGTTTCGTAATAAATCGTGAAGTCCTGTTAAGAAGTAAGTGTATTTATTTAATAATTTTTGTAATTTTCTATAATAATCGAAGAAAATTAATAGAATTTTAAAGAAAATTTCCACTTGTAAAGTTTCTCAATTTACATAAATCAAGACAAAACTTGAATAGAGTAACCACGAAAAAAAGCTTAATATACAGTCGACCCCCCTATAAGATCATTGATTTTTCCGTTTTATCTGAATTACATGTTGTACGAGTCACTTAGATTTTACAAATACGTGTGCCGGACTGTGAATGGCTCACATATTTGTAAAATCTAAGTGACTCGTACAACATGTAATTCAGATAAAACGGAAAAATCAATGATCTTATAGGGGGGTCGACTGTATTCAGTAAGAGCTCGTTTATAATGATATAAATTGTTTAGAAATACTTCCATAGGAATTTAGTTCTTCTTTTTTTAAATACAAATTAATAATGGAATATCAGGGATGTTACTCCACTTCCAGAAATGAGCAAAGTCTAAGAAAATAGCACTAAAACTGATAAAAATCTTCCATAAAAATATATAAAAACTCGATTTTTTCGAAAGATTTATTTATTTTAAAATATATAATTAAAATTAGTATTAAATTAATTTAATAATTTTAAAAATATATATAAAACTCTAACGACATATCAAGTTACAGGAAGGGATGTTATGAACGTGAATGAAAGAAGTTATCTTCTTTTGTATAAGGATACTATCTGAAATAATAAGGATATACCCATTGTAATCAATTATATAAAATTGTTTTATTTCGTACAGTTTATTTAGTATCCTACGTAATTCTTAAAAGTACTTTTATAGAAGAAATTATAGAAGATAAGGCGTAAAAATTCAAAAATTTAATTATATTCTTTTAATTATTTTATTAGGGTAACATTTTCTAACCTTTTATATTTGACGACATGTTAAATAACATCAATAATATTAAGCAATATCAATTTTAATCTATGAAGATCGCGATCCACCGGTTGAAAATCTATATCCGATTACTTCAAATATATCGTTATTTTATTACTAAAATTCTGCGAAAAATTGAATAATTTTAAGCGAATCTTGTAGAGATTTTTATTCTTAGTTCAGTTATATATGAATTCTTATATTATTTAATTGTCTATAGGTTATAAGTTATGCAAACGACAGTGATGTTATTTACGTTTCTCCCAACTCTAGTAGTGACGTTAAGAGGATGGGATAATTGATTATAATGAAAAAAAAAATGCATAAAATACGCCGATTTAAAGTACGATGAGGCATTTATAAAACGTAATTGGTCTATAACACTTCTGGAATATGTGAGATCACCCTTTCTATAAAAGGGTTGGATACTTGCCACGCACAGTTGTTTCCGTTCGGATGTTTTTGCTATGCAATGCCACTCGCTAGATGCAATTGTATGAACATCAAGGCCACTTTCGCTAACTTCAACGACACTATAACCTCCGGCTGCACTCTAAAAACTTTCAAAATTATCGATTATTATGGGTGATAACATCCTCAGGACTTCAAATAACTCTCGTTAAAACATGCCAATTTTTCTGTATAGAAAATATTTCATTGTAATCCAGTTATGATGCTGTTATATCAATTATATATTATATGAAAGTTTGAATTATTCTGTGGAAAATATGCCTTTCCAACCTGATGGTGACTTAGAAGATAATTCTCGTAAGGAGGATGAAGAGCAGCAGCAGCAGCAGCAGCAGCAGCAGAGTGTAGACAGGTATGCGTATACAATTTATTTTAATTATTTTAGATATATTAAATATGCAAATTTTATAAATTAATATATTTTTATAGCTTAATTAATTAGTTAATTTAATTTTAAAATTTTAAAATAAGTTAATTTACGGATTGGTTTGGAGATATTCCAACTAGAACTGGATCGTGTTTTGTCTCTCGTTATTTTGGCAACGAAAACCTTCGAGAAAACAACAGATTAAATAATTATAATTAAGTAAAATTTATTTTAAAGTATTTTTTTTTATCGATTAAGGCTATCTTTACCTTGCAATTTTACTAGTTTTTGACCTGTCAGCATCATGTAAAAATGCTGTTTTAACAGTTAAGTGAAGGTATCTTTTGATCTTTAAGTTAAGTGAGACGTAGAGATGTCGACCTCGCCTGTTTAAACAACAGACAATTAATAAGAATAATAAAGACCCTCGGCGCTTATAATATCGAAAATTGGGACAGTAATTGCGTGTGGACAGGATATCAGTTAATAAGTAGGCCGAAGGAAGCCTACACATTTATAAACAAGGTCAAGTTCTATGCCATACTTGAAGAGAATCATTCACATTTTATGTTTATATTGTTTTATTATCCATGCTTTTAATCAAATTTTTTTGTTTTATAATTAAAATTACGTCTTTAAAATAAATTATAAATTACGTATCGGAAGAATTTATGTAATTATCGATGAAAAAAAAATTCCACAATATAAAGATTAATGGAGTCAGAAGAGCACGTTTTATAGGAGAGATCTTGTGGATAAAATGGATGTCTTAGGGATCCTAGAGATAAAACGAATACCGTGCCATACAAACAAGACGGATGCCGTAGAGATCCTGTGGATAAAATACACACATTTAAATAGATTTCACAGATAAAACGGATATTTGTAGAGAACCTATCGATAAGAGGGATGCCAATAGAGATCCCACGGATCAAACAGATTAATAGACATAAAACACACGTGTAAATGTGATATTATTGTAATATAATCTTAAATTAAATATCGATAATTTTAGTAAATATTATAAAATATTCTCACGAAAAAGGGAGTTAATTAAGTTCTTTGTAGTTTGTTTTTTTAAAGGAAAAGGAGCAATTTTCGATGATAAGAGAAAGGGATACTTTGGAGAAAGTATTCAAATAATTTCAATATAATTATGGATTCAAAATACATCAATTTATTATATATAATTATTACGTATAAAGTACTTTTATGGGGCATTTGAGCTCTCTTCGTATATAAATCGTTATGCAAAATTAAACGAAGACTCGTAAAATTAGAGATTCTTGAAATCGCTTCGTGTTTATTTCTAACTTTATTCTATTTATAAACATAGTTAAATGGAAACACTTATAAACACAACTTTTCCCTGTCTACTTATATTTTCTTAAATTTAATTCTAAAAGACATAACGTATTTTATATAATACGTAACGTACGTCTGGGGTCTAAACCTTTGAGATTATGAAAAAAATTGAGGTATTTTAAAGAGAAATTAATGACGAAAAATAAGGAAGAGTTAATTTTAAATTTTTTAAAAAGAAAAATAAAGAAATTATGCGGTAGAAAATGTTTTAAACTGTAGTTACGTGCGTTATATTTAATAATTTAAAAGAGGATGAAGATAAAGGAGATGAGAGGATGGGATGAAATAAAGAAAAAGGTGGGATTAAGATAAAAGAGATAAAAGAACGGAGATGAAGATAAAGGATATGTAAAAGGTGGGTAAATATAAAAGAACTGAGAATATGAGGATGAAAGTAAAGAAGATGGAAAGATGAGAATAAAGGAGACAAATGGATTGGGATGAAGATAAAGAAGATGAGAGAATGGGAGTGAAAATAAAGCAGCTAAAGAGATGGTATGAAGATAAAAGAGATAAAAAGATGGAGATATAGGAATAAATATAAAGGAAATTAGGGATTGAGTTGAATAAAAAAAGGAGATAAAAGGTTTAAAGATAATGATGATTGTGATGTTAGAAGGGTTAGGAATTGGGAATAATAACATTGGGATGAAGAGGAGGAAAACTGATTATCTACTTAATCGAGTCAAGATCCATAAAAAAATGATATATGCCAATTAATTTTAAAGAAATGAATCAATTTTGGACGAGAACAAATGGAAAATAATTATGTAAATAAGCAGTGAATATGAATGAAATTCTAATATGTGAAAAGTGTCATTTCAAGTGTCTTCGATAGCAAAATTTTATTTATAATATTATAAATCATTTATTTTTATGACAATATTTTAAAGACTAAATTCATTTTAAAGATAAAAATGTATTAAATTAACTAATAAAAAGCGAAATTTTTAGTAAGAGTAGATCATGGAAAGAGAGGAGAACAAGGGAGAAATCTCTTTGGATAATGATTGGTGTGCTTTTAATCATGTTCCTGATCGTTCTCATTTTTCTAATTCGATCTGGAGGTAAGTTCGACAGTTATTTTATAATATTTTATACGAGGATCGTATAATAACACGCAAAAAATAGTCTAGAAACACGCGAATTTGATGTGCCTTAGGAAACCGTCGTAAAGCGAGCTTTCTATTTTCCATAAGTTTAGTGTTATAAATTTAATATTATATTCGTGTAAATTGTAATTTTAACTATATAATACGACAAGGATTTAATCACAATACAGAATTTAGTACAGTGTAATAGAGAATTTATATAAAACATTAAAGTAAGAGGTCGTAAAGCGGGGGATATACATTATTTCATTCATTACTTAATAAATGGCGGATTAACAATAAAATTTCTAAATTCGAAATGTAATTAAATATATAAAAAGACAGAAAATTCGAATTTTCTACAGATTAAGTTCATTTAGGTAAAATAAAATGAGAAAATCGAACTGTAAAAGTGTTCTTTCTCATAATAAATAAAGTGATGTAGATTGAAAAATTCGTGTAATTTTCACGAAATTTATTAGAAAAATAAAATAATTTAATAAAAAAAACATTAAAATTTAATAATTTTTACGAATTTATTTAATATTTTATTAATTTTTCTAGCAATTGTTAATACTAAAATAATAAAAGAGAAGAGAACTTGTTCGACTCCAATTTGTGTAGAAGAGGGTGAGTAAGTAAATTTAAATTGTGATAATTGTAATAAAATAAATTTTATTAAATTTTTTTTTAAAAATTTACACGATAAAATTTACTAAATTATTAAATTAATTCAAGCTTTCAGGTTATTAAAGTATGGGAATTACACCTCTGATTCTTGTAGAAGTTTTAGTGAATTTTCATGCGGTTTAAAGTCAGAAATTAACTTCGAAGATGACTTTACTTACACGGATTATCATCTATTATTAGTTAAGAGTAAGTTAATAGATCTAAATTAAGTAATTTTAGCTTCTGTTAAAGAATCTACGATGCTGAAGTTGCATATAAAATGAGGAATTTAAGCGTAAGTGGGATGAAAATTTAATGAATAAACCATTAAAAACTGGTGAATTTTAATAGGAATTAGTGTTTTTTAAATAATTTAAAGGTTGTTTTAAGGATTTAAATTTAAAAAATTACAAAAAATAATTTATATTTAGCATATTTTCACGTTTTAAAGTAGCATGTACTAGTTAGTTGTAGCGTGTAAAGTGAGTAGTTTATGCATGAATATAGCGAAAATTTAGTTAATAAGTTATAAAAAAATTATATTTTCTTATAGAAATTACATTTTATAATGATTTAAAACATTTTAAAATACTTTTTTACAGTTTAAATGAAGAAAAACTACAAAAAATTGATAACATTTCACCTATTTTTAAGTTACAATGATAAATGGAATGTTACAGTAGCATACACTTGTACAGGATAGATAATTAAGCTCATTATTTAGTCATTTGGAACAAAATTATGAAAAATGACTCAAAAATATTACAAAAATAATTTAATTAATGTAAGCAATTCGTGTCGAGCTACGCAGTAGATTCTAACCATTTACACACTTGGAGGGGTGACATTTTTTTCTTTTTTTCCTCTCCTCGTCTAACCAGGAATTAAAAACTTTCTAAATCGATGTAGAACACTTAGAGGCAGTTTAAGACTATCCAAATATCCTCTAATTCAGAGAAGACACAATGAATTAACTAGTTAATTGCTCCATCTAATAACACGACTTGAACAGCAGTTACTATTAATTAAATCATTTTAGATGTAAGAAAAATAAAGCAAAGATGGGTCGAAGTGTTAAAAATGTAATTAGTAAACGTTATTCTGTACTTAAGATTGAATATTTTTTTATTATTATAGAATTATTAGAGAGATATTCGGATGATGACGAAGTAGAAGCTCTGAAAGCCAAGACTTTCTATCATTCCTGCATAAATAACGGTGAATATTTTTATATAAATTCGGATTTTTTTGAATAAAACTTGAATTTTTTGTTGTAAAATATTGTTTATATTCTAAAAAAATATATATATATTTTTAAAGTAGGCCCTATACGTGTAAATTTTTTCGTAAAGAAGATTACTTAAGCTGTTGTTTCAAATGGTCCTAGCTTTGTTATCTTTGTATTTATTTCTAGAATGGAGCCAAAGTACTAATAACACTGTCAGGAAATTACTCAAAAAAGCAGGATTAACTAATTCTGCACCAGGTATGGATACGTATAGGCGAGAAAAAACATTAGCGCTTCTAAACATCTACAGAGACAAAAATCCTTTCTTCAGATTCCATAGGATTCATCGCATAACTTATGTAAGTATCCATAATTTGCCTTCGTTCTGTAGTAAATTACTGACGTAATCACTTACATCCCTCTCTTGCAGTTATACCCCGGCCGTCCAGTATTAAAACCCAATATATTGTTAGTTGATACGAACTCGAATCTACTCACCAGAATGAGATACGAAAACTTAATCAACAGTACATTAATCGAGCTTGGTGTTCCTCCTAGGGATGCGGATAAAGATGCTGAGGAATTGGTTAGATTCGAAAGAGAATTTGCTGATGTAAGTGTAAGAAATTTACTAAAGAATGATAGAAGATAAGTATATTTAATGTAGATTTAAATTTAGATTTGCACCATGAGATGCCCAACAAAATCGAGTCAGTTGAGTCTAGATCGATTAGAAGAGCTGTATAACGAGGTATGGAATGTTTTTAGCATCGTATACAAGCGTTAAAGCGTTAAAATTTAATGTATATTTTATAAATTAATAGTTAAAATGGTCTGCTATCATCAAACACATTTTTCGTATTTACGGTTTGGAAGATGAGTTCTCAAAGAACATGAAAGTTGTGGTTATATGCGAGAAGTACCTGATGAAACTCTTTCATTTACTTGATAAATATGGCTCCAGGTATAATTTTTGAAACAGAAATTGCTTTTTAAAGTTGATTTTCTAAATATTTAAAAGCATTTTTACGTTTGCAGAGTGGTGGATAACTTCGTAACTTGGTCTTTCGCTGTTAATTATCTGCCATTCTTGGATCCTACCTTCCGTTATAGGTATAGAAACATTGATGATGCGGTTGATAATCACTGGTCTGGAAATATATACGAAAATAATGAGAAAATGTGCCTTTATGCCACGTTATATTACTTTAATTCAGCCATTTCAATGCTCTATGATAAAGAAGAACTATCGGAGCAGGAAGAGGAGGAAGTGAGCATCATCTTTTCAAATTTAAATCTTAATAAATTTCGATGGAATTTTAATAAATTAAACTTAATTTTTGATAAAATTTCATGTTTTAAGTTAAAAAACATAAAATTTTAGATGAAAGAAATCTTTGAAAATGTTCAGGAAGCGTACGAAGAAGTGATTTCTGAACAGGAATGGTTAGACGAGAGTGCCAAAACTCAGTGTAAGACTATGGTAACTGCATCATTACTTTAACACCTGTAATTTAAAATTTCCATAATTTTATTTTATTTTTCAAATTTTAATCACTCTTATGTAGAATTTTTAATAAGGTTTATAATTCAGATGAGGGAGATGGAGATGAAGATTGGATTCACTAAGAATTTGGAAGAATCGAACACAATTAGTACCATGTATAATATGATAAAAAGCAATTTCGTACGGATTTTCATTTTTCCAGGCACGATTACAGAGATAACAATACGCGTATTCAACCTAAGGAAGTCATTTAACAATAAATTTGGCAATAAATCGTGAAAAACAGAACTTATCACTTACATTTTCAGAATCTGTGCCAGGTCTGTGTAATTCTTTCTTCTCTTTTTCGCAAATGAGGCAAACTCTTATTCCTTTACAAGCACAACTCATTATTTTACCTCGTTAATAACAAATACATTAAATAAACGGAGAGAAAAAATCAACAAACACGCTTCGTTTCTTAAAAACATACCAAACACATTCACTCATCTGAACCACGTGTTAATCTTCTTATAGTGTTGCCAGTTTTCAATAGATAATTTAGAAATAAATAATACTTAAATATAATTAATTAAATATTTAAAATTTNATTTAAAGTTTTTTCTAAAATAAACGTTATTATTTAACTGTAAATTAAAATATTTTAGTTTTTCTTTAAGAAATATTTAAAATCTCCAGCTTTTATTTAATACATTAAGAAATTTATGAAGTTCTCTTCGTGTGGTACTCCGAGTTGCACACGAAAAGAACTTTGCTTCTTGCAACTCCACGTTGCAAACTGCAAATAAGAACTCAAATTTTACTGCTTTATAATGTTAAATCACGTTTTAATAACGTAATTATTATAAATTTTCATAGATATTTAAATTATGGAACGTTAGGATTTGTTATGGCGCACAAAATGTCTCGCGCATTTCTCTCCTCAGGTACTTCAATTAAATTCAATTTAAAAATATTCTAGACAAAATTACAATATTTTTTGATAAAAAATTTTAATATTTTAATACATTTTACACCTTTAGGAAACGTCAGAAAAATTTTAAATAAGGAAACATTTCGTGAGAAAGAAAATTGTTTCGATCATCAATACTCTCAATGCTCAGGAAATGAAGAAGAAACGGTTATATTTTATTTTAAATATTTATAAAAAAATTAATAGAAGTCATTATAAGATTATTAAATATATAAAAAACAAATTCAAAATAATTTTTAAAAGTTTCTATATTTTAGATAAGTGGAAGCATCATTCTTCAAGATTATCTCGCTGATCAGTTTGGATTAACAGTGGCTTTGAAGGTAAATTAAGTAAAAAAATTAATTAATTTTATAGAAAAATATGTATTTAATTTTCTAAATTTTAAATTATTTAAGGCATACGAGAATTATATTGAAGAACACGAAGAGGAAATCACCTTACCTGCACTTAATTTAACAACTAAGCAGATATTTTTTCTTAATTACGCTCAGGTGAGCATAAATCAAAGAATTATCATGGAAAATTTAATTAAATATTATTTTTTAATATAAAATCTTTTATATTTTACAATTATTAATCGTATTTTTTACGTTTTTTTATTATAAATTCGATTATTGAAGATGATATGTGATATCGGAACAGAAAGGTTTATACTAGCGGAAGACGAAGAAATTGTTGATTTTTGCAGGTAAATTTATATAAATTAATTATAAAAAATGCATTTTTTAGTAATTAAATATCATTTTTTTTAATGTTGTAGAATTGACAACGTCTTGCAAAATATGCCAGAATTTGCAGAAACTTTCGAATGTGTGGAAGGTAGCATCATGAATCCATCAGAAGAATGTGAGATTTGGGAATAAAATTATGAATTAAATTTTTAATAAATTAACTTGTTTATTTTTGGGAAAGAATAAAAATTTGGGAGTGAATATATTTTCTAAAAATCCATCCTAAAACAAGAGAATAACAATAAAAAAAATAGTAAAATCCTTTTTGTCTGGTTATTTTTAGTCATATTGATGAATTCTTTGGAAACAAGGGATATTTATTGGAGAAAATACAACTTATAAAGAAAAATTAAGGATTAAATTAAATTAAAATGAATATTTATAAATAAATAAATTGACAAGTTATTATTTCTACGTTAAGATTTTAGATTACGTTATCTTCCGCATCAAGTTTTTCTCCATGTTATCTCATTAATTCTTCTTATTTTTGTATTAATTTTTAGTATGAAAGAGTATTTATTGAATTTTTATATTATATTCAAATGATTAGATGCGTAATAATATCTTTTTTCTCCTCAAATAACCCGATTCTTAACTATTTCTTACATTAAAAGCTCCGTTTTGACTCTACCTTCCAGACTCGATATAGGACTTTTAATTCTATTTAAAAGCTTTAATTATACAAAATAATAGAAGCAATTACAGTAAAATGTAAGTTAGCAGTGTTTTCGCTCGTATAACTTGCAAAAAATGCTAAATTAAAAATTAAAAAACTTCGTATAACCCTCATACCGTGTATACCCCGCAGTTAATTGTTCTGTAGGCACGAGTTGTTAACATTTTATATTATTATATAAAAATAATTTCTAAAATATTCGTAGATTTATGAATATAATACGGAATTGAACAATGATAAAAGCCTTAATAACATTAATATTATTAGAAGTGATGACTTGCTGAATATTATTAGAAAAATACATGTGCATAAGAGTAAAAATTTATTTAAAAATTAAATCTTTATTAATCATTTTGTGATTAATACATTAAAATTTTATAAGAAATTCTACTTTTTACACGATTATTTTCAACAAATTTTCTTCCAGAATTGCCACCATCTTGAATTTCGAATTTTATTTTTTGGTGGGTCATCATCGTTGGAAAATATGGAACTCGAAAAACGGGAATAATCAGGACAGATCTTATTTTCCTAGAAAAATTCAAGGATATTTTACTTAAATACAGTAATTAAGATGGTTTGATAATCTTTATCAGTCGAAGATTAGTTTCTGTGGGATTATTTTTATCTGCAATAACGATACAATTGGCAATTATCTCATATAAATAATAGAAGACCCTTAACAGGTTCTTCAGATTGATCTGGAAAATTGATGGTTTACATAAGAGCCATCATCTGAAGATCCTTAACAGTTTCTTCAGTTATTTTGTATGATGTCTCATATACCATCCATACAAGATAACTGCTAAGGTTAGCATTTTTTTACATATAAAATAGTAGATTTTCTGTCATTACTTTTCAGTTAATGATGATTCCCGTATCCATCATCTATACAAGATTGAGTTATCTTGTATGAGGAAGATTCTCTATCGTCAAGGCAACGTGGTTCTTCAGATAATTGGAATAGTCTTGAAAAAATCTACACGAATTTTTGTCACTGTTACTCTTATTAAATTGTAAACACGAGAATGTCCACAAGAGTAAGCAAAGACCTCATAAATTCATGTTCACGAGTGAGTAGACGTTGGCGAAATTTAGAAAATCACAATTATAAATGGAATTCACATAATTTACCTGTTTTATATCGTAACTTTCTCGAGAAGATACACGTATAGAACTAGTACAGGATGGATCATTAGAGATTATGCTCGAATGTCCAGTTACTGTTTTCTTTTTCACGATACTTCTTATTGTAGCATATAAGTGATCCATCCTGTGCTTTATGCGCTTTGGTTTTCCACAGTTTGGCTAAGATAATATATAAGAAAATTTAAGAACTTTCACTATAATATAGATTATTACTCAACATACCAAATTATTCATCAAATCTTTATGAAATTCAAAAAAGAATTTATCTTTTTCCGATTCGTAGTACACGGTCCAAACGTTTGAAGGAAAATCTGTATTTGGAGATTTATTTGCTGTATTTTTTTTATCAAACGAATTCTAATGATAAATAATTGATAATGTAATCATCGCATTGAATTAATTTACAAAAATAAAGCGATACTTGCGCATTTGTTAATTCCAGAACAACTTACATCTTGTAGTATTTTCGTATAAGAAGATCGTTCTTCTCCCTGAATAAATCATCATCCTTATCATCATGATTATAACTTTAAAGTTTATTTAAGAAAATATATAATATTCTTACAGATTCCTTGATAAGGATCGGATCATATTTTCCAGATACGAAATATAAAGTTAAAATTGGATCTTCCTCCTGGATCTGCTAAAAGAAAAATCATTTTTGATTTATAAATATCTTAATTGTAATGTAAATTTTATAATGATGATGATGATATTAAATTATTACGGGGTGTGTCAGAGCCGTTAAGCGTGCGAGTGAACTTTTTTAAGAGGTTGGTGGAACAAGTTTGGAATGGAAATAACAAAAAATTACGCAATGTGGTATGTACAGATTAGAGTTGTTGACATTAAATTAACCTTGGGATTGATTAAACTACTATTAATAATTGCCGGAATTGAAATAAATCCTGGTCCTCTTTCCCGTTTGCCACTTCGGTCAAGCCAGTTGGATATGCAAAAAAGGGGGCGTGGTAGACCTCGGAAAGAAAGTCACAAGGAAGAAGAAAGGGAAACGCAGTTACTGGAAATTTTAAGTGAGGACTACCAAATTGAAGAAAAGGTCGAAAGAAATAATGAGACCCCGAGAAATTCGAAAATTCAGGATTATTTTAGACCGGCAAGAGAAATCGAAAAACAAGGTATTGATGATTCACAATATACATTAAGATCTATATACGAATTAATTCAGGAAAAATTTTGCCAGTTAAACTTAGAAATTCAATCAATAAAAGCTGAAGTTAATAAGATAAAAGAAGAAAATAATAGTTATAAAGAAGAGATGAAAATAATTGGTTACAAGATAGAAAAATTAGAAGAAAATTATAAAAATAACGAAAAGTTAAAAGGTATATTTGAATTCGAATTTGATAAAATGGCAAATGAAACTACTAATAAGAACATAATAATTTTTAATTTTCCGGTTAAAACATGGAACCTTGCGCAAGAAATTAAACAGTTTATTAACGAAGAATTAGGTCTAAAAAATATAGAAATTGAAGGACTAATCCAACTTAAAAATAGTAAGAATAACCTAATAATAAAAGTAATTCTGGAATCTGTTAAGGATAGAAATTTAGTTCTCAAGAGATTTTGGTCTTTGAAACAAAAAATTGTTAATAAGACCGAGAAAAAAATAATAATTACAACGGATTTGTGTATTAGATCAAGAATCAGAAGAAAAAAACTACAGAATCAAATTAAAGTAGAAAAAACTAGTAAAAATAAAATATTAATAAGAGATGACTACTATATTAAGGATAATATAATATATACAATTGATATGAATACAAACAAGATTATTCAAATGGATGGTTCTTTTAGATATAGACAGACAACTAAAAAGAACATGATTGACAAGAGAATCAAACCGAATTAAGTTTAGATCCCTCAAATAGGAAAACAGTAATTGAAAATAATTGTAATATAAGCTTTGTAAAACTGGAAGATAGTGAAGTTAAAGGTTTTGAAGAATATAAGATCTTTGTGGAAAAATTNCACATATAAATGGCTTACTTGGGTGACTCCGAATAATTGATGTCAGTCAGCAACATCCCCACGGATAAAACTAATAAAAAATAATATATTCATCCACGAATATAAGTGATGTCGCTGAAGAAATACTATAAGAAATCATACCTAATGTATTAATAGGGATGCTGTAAGCTATGGTCGGCGATAGAGGTGGATACTTGATAAATACACTAGAAAGATAAATGTTAATACGTTTAAATTCTCTAAAACTTTGATTGAAGATATACGTTTTATTCCAATTACCTCGGAGGTTTAGATCGTTTGACGTGAGAAGGGGTGGCAGTTAGTTTAAAGAAGGCTCTTTCCACTTGAAGCAGAGCATTGACAAAAGTGTCGTCTTCTATTTCTAGCTAAATTTATATTAAAAATTTCAATAAAAGTAATAAAAAAAGAAGAAAAAATTCTTAACTGTTTACCTGTTTCATAATAAATGTGAAAATGGGATCTTGCATGGTTTTGTTGTTGACAATTTCAATGTTCATGTTCTCCATCTTTGAACGTATGAAAGGTTTATAATTTAGAAAAAAAACTCCTGTAAAAGGTTTTACTAACCACAAAAAGTTTCTAACCTTACTTCTCAAGAACATTTTCGAATCTTTGTCTAGCCAATTTTGAGACGTCACCATTTGTTTGAATACCTCTTTCAAGTGTCCTGCTAAATCTTCTACCTGTTTAAAAGGAATTTTAATTTCTGAAAATTTATTTATAAATGAATAGTTTAATTTTAGAAAACTATTAAATATGGTAAATTTTGTATTTAGAGTCAAATGTCAAACAGAAACAACAACAATTAACACGAATTGCGATGAGCAAACCTGTCAAGCTGCTCCTGAAGACTGTTCCTCAGGTTTCGTTACAACTTCTTGTGGATGTACAGTTTGTGCACAGGTAAATTCGTACATATATTTATAAAAATAGGATAAAATATTGTAATTAAGTATATAATTAAATGTAATATCTGACAGAGCGAGGGTGATGAATGTGGAGGATTCATGAATGAGTATGGCCAATGTGGAGATGGTATGTACTGTGTTAAGACCACTTACGATAGCTCGTCTCAATGTATTTCGTATGATGCCAGTGACGAATATCGTGGAATATGCAAACGTGGTCAGTTATCCATATGTTTCTAACATAATTAACGATACGCAATGCATTTTGTGGCAAAGATATATTAACGTGAATTTACGAGAATATATAAGAAATTATAAAGAAATTCGTAGTATAAACTATACGTTGCATATTGCAAGATCATTAGTAAAGATATTACATAATAAAATTGTAATTTTAAATGATTTCTGTATGCAAAATGTGATGATCCGTTGAGTGCATAAACATTTCATTTTATAGTAGTTCAGTTTTATGTTGTATAATCAATAAAAAATATGCAAATATTTGTGTTAAATGTTACTTATGTAAATAAGATAGTCTTTCTTGCTGTATGAAACAAAGTTTAGTAACTTTAACGTACTGTTACCTGATTTCTATATCCTCACGGTTGATGCACTTTGCATTGTAATTATAACCTACGCGATGATATGGAATAAAAATAAAATTTCGCAACAAAAACTTAAATTTAATGAGTCTTTTAATGAGAAAAATACGAAAAATAAATAAATAAATAAAAATTATTAAGATAAATAAATTTATTTGGTTTAAAATACAACAAAAATATATCTTTGTCTTTTTGATGATGAATTGTGAATTTTTTTTTTTTACATAATTTTCTTTTCTTTTAATAAATGCACTCGTCGTAAAAATCAAAATTTAGTACTTTAATTTTTTTTTTAAATTTATTAAAAATTGTACAATTAAAATTATTTAAGTTTTTCTTCTCTTCTTCTCCTTCACTCCCAAATGGCACATTTATCATTAGGATTCATTGTACTTTCAGAAGGACATTTAAAAGCTCTGGAAAACTCTTCGATGTTGTATAGAATTTCATTTAACCTAGTAAAATAAGTTTAAATGATTAATTAAATTATAATTTTTTAAAATATTTTTTATAATTATATAAATTAACGAATTCTTCTTACATAACGGTATTTTGTCTGGGATTTTTCTTGTCTTGAATTTCGCACATCGTCTGGAAGATAAATATGTGAATTTAATATAAAAATACGTAGAAAATATAAATAAAATTTTCGAAATTTGAAATTTACTTGTGCAAATCTCACAAAAAGTAACTGCTCATGAGTTAAATTCGAGTATATTTCTGGAAGAATCGCATCTTTCTGTTCGTGTTTTTTGATATAATTCATATAAGCCTACGAATATACGAAAATAAATTTTAATTTAATAAAAATTATAAAATTAATAACATTAAAAGCGATTTTTTTAAAATGCTACCAACGTAATAAGCAGCTTTCAATCCGACTGTGTACGATATCACCTCTTTCAACGTTGTCGCCATTTTATTTGGATTCTTAAGTTTAAAAAAAAAAAAATGTTAAGATATTAATGAAAATAACTTAAAAATTACAAAATAAATTAAAATATAAGGACCTTCTCTACATTAAAATACGTAGAATACATAAGTTGTTGAGCTCTAAAGCAATTCATTTTCTCTTTATATCTATATTCGTCCCTTTTAGAGATCACATCTTCGTCAGAAATTTCCTTTGATTCTTGGTAAACTATGTTAAAAATGCATATTATACAAATAATTAATGATAATTTGTATAAAATTGAAGAATTGAGCTGTAAAATATGAGATAAAAGATGAAGATGGAGATTTTCGCATTTAGAACAAATAAATATTTAACTATTATTATACAAACTAAGAATTTATACATACGATGTTCGTGATATGCAGCATACATATTTTTCGCTAAATTTGATCCTAGTCCTCCGTATATTAAGGATCTAAAATGAATTAATTGATATTTTTTTATTACGCCTGTTGTATTACTAGCCTTATAAAAAGCACATATAAATGGCTTACTTGGGTGACTCCGAATAATTGATGTCAGTCAGCAACATCCCCACGGATAAAACTAATAAAAAATAATATATTCATCCACGAATATAAGTGATGTCGCTGAAGAAATACTATAAGAAATCATACCTAATGTATTAATAGGGATGCTGTAAGCTATGGTCGGCGATAGAGGTGGATACTTGATAAATACACTAGAAAGATAAATGTTAATACGTTTAAATTCTCTAAAACTTTGATTGAAGATATACGTTTTATTCCAATTACCTCGGAGGTTTAGATCGTTTGACGTGAGAAGGGGTGGCAGTTAGTTTAAAGAAGGCTCTTTCCACTTGAAGCAGAGCATTGACAAAAGTGTCGTCTTCTATTTCTAGCTAAATTTATATTAAAAATTTCAATAAAAGTAATAAAAAAGAAGAAAAAATTCTTAACTGTTTACCTGTTTCATAATAAATGTGAAAATGGGATCTTGCATGGTTTTGTTGTTGACAATTTCAATGTTCATGTTCTCCATCTTTGAACGTATGAAAGGTTTATAATTTAGAAAAAAAAACTCCTGTAAAAGGTTTTACTAACCACAAAAAGTTTCTAACCTTACTTCTCAAGAACATTTTCGAATCTTTGTCTAGCCAATTTTGAGACGTCACCATTTGTTTGAAGACCTCTTTCAAGTGTCCTGCTAAATCTTCTACCTGTTTAAAAGGAATTTTAATTTCTGAAAATTTCATTTATTGTTAATAATTTCCTAAAGAAAATTTATAAATCGAAGTTTTTCACATTTCTGAGATGTCAGCAACAAACAACACGTAAAAGGGGAGAAGTGAGAAACATAGAGTAACAGTGGATTAGAAGTGTTTACATATAGATTATGGCTCTTAAACTATAGTTTAAGCGGGTTAAAATAATATTGAAGTTTATGGGAGTCATTATTAATCAATATCAAATCATTGACATAAGGCACGTTTAAGGGAGTCATTATAAATCATCGATCTAATTCTTCAATTAACAATAGCAAAAGACCAACGAGACGAGACCATTGCAATCATCACATATGGAATTGGAAACCACAATAGGTAATAAAATGCATTATAAAAAATTGTTTTATGAGATCGAAAAGTTTCGAGGCTGGACCTGTAGCGACGTAAGGGGGTGGTGCACAGTCCTGAGCATGCAACGAGAGAGTCAAAAAATGTTCATGAATCAGTATGCAAAGTGGCAACGTGCTGCGTTGATTGGAGATTGTATTACAGAAGTTTTTCGACGACGTCCTGTTGAGCCTTTGCAATCTCATCACGAACCTGAAACTGGAACAGAAAGCTAACATCAACTTTTGTGTTAAATTGGGGAAGTAGGCAACAGAGACCCTTGAAATGCTTCGAGAAGCCTGCGGCAATGAAGTAGTGAACCCATGGCACGAGCGCNCTCTCTTCTTGTAAAGTTGTAATTATTTTAATTATTTTTATTTCCAAACTGATTTTAACCAGTTCTATAGTAAGGTAACATTCCAATAGACAATATGCAAAGCTTTTTTTTTTCAGTTTACAGCAGTATTTATTACACAAAATTTAAGTAAAGCTTAACATGCCGATCTTGCCCCGATCTCCCCTAATCAATATCAAATCATTGACATAAGGCACGTGGACATCGATCTAATTCTTTAATTAACAATAGCAAAACACCAACGAAACGAAACCATTGCAATCATCACATATGGAATTGGAAACGACAATAGGTAATAAAATGCCTTATAAAAAATTGTTTTATGAGATCGAAAAGTTTCGAGGCTGAACCTGTAGCGACGTAAGGGGGTGGTGCACAGTCCTGAGCATGCAACGAGAGAGTCAAGAAATGTTCATGAATCAGTATGCAAAGTGGTAACGTGCTGCGTTGATTGGAGATTGTGTTACAGAAGTTTTTCGACGATGTCCTGTTGAGCCTTTGCAATCTCATCATGAACCTGAAACTGGAACAGAAAGCTAACATCAACTTTTGTGTTAAATTGGGGAAGTAGGCAACAGAGACCCTTGAAATGCTTCGAGAAGCCTGCGGCAATGAAGTAGTGAACCCATGGCACGAGCGCTTCAAAATGAGCAGAACGTCAATGGAGGACAAGAAAAGGTCAGATCAACCCTTCACGAGCACAACTCTCGAAACTGTTGAGAACATTCGACGTCTTTTGCATTGGGATCATCAAGAATATTGTCGCTAAGATCAATGTATCGTATGGAACAGTGCAGGCGATTCTGAGGTCTGATATTGAATTGCAACATACTATAGTTTGTGCCCAGCCTCCTGAGCCACTAGCAGAAGGCGCACCGTATCCAAGACTTCGAAGATCTTCAGCAAGCTCGTGATGCTCTGTGACTTCTTGTTCCAAAAGATGAAATTCAAATTGAAGGGTCGCCGTTTTGACACGGCAGAGGATACCCTGCGCGAATCACAGATGAATGTACCTCTACCGTACTTCTGCCGAATATTAATTTTCAATTGTTATCATCCATTAATTTCTATATATGTAATATTAATTATGTAATAAATGATTTTTTTTTAAATTCGTGCCAATGTTTGGCTTTCTGTGATAGGACCTGAATGAAGACAATCGTATGTGAAGAATGTATAATTTCAAAATATAGCAAAATATACTAAATAAAATTATTAATTCATATCAATATAGAAGAAAATTTTAAGTTTTGTTCTATATATTAATAAAAATTAATGATTTCACTTGGTATCTTTTCTCATATTTCATCTCCATACTCATAGAAATTTTACAACATTAAGAATAAATATGGAAAATTCCTTCACTAAAAAGTTATAAATAGCTAGAAAATATATTAATTTATTATTTTAGATTTTCAAATTTAAAACATATCATTCTCATTGGTTAAAATTTATCATTATAATTCGTTTAACAAATTAGAGCACAGGAAACGTTTACAAACAGGAAGGTACCCTTATAATTATCTTCAATAATGATAAAATTATTTTTGCTGTCTACACACAAATTGCTTTTGACGTCGACAATTACTCGAATAATGTATTTCCAGATAACAATGAGATTTCAAATAATTCTGAGAATTATAATTGATCATCAGATGAGGAGAAAGATGAAATAATTGCATCTCGTTACGAAACTATCAAAGAAATAAATATACAGGATTTATGGTAATTTGTATAATTTTGACCATGATTCGACACATTTTCTTAATTCTAACATTGTAAAATGATTCATTTTACTGCGTAGTAAGATAGGATCTTAAATTAACTAATGGTGCGACACGTATGCATTGCAAAAAAGCCAAACTCTTTCCATTCATGAAAACGCGTAGAGTGAAATAGAGCGTTAAATTAACATATATTTTACGTATTAATAAGTAATTCAGTGCAGAAGTATAGAAGAAATGTATACTTACCTCAGTTTTCATAGCTGGACGAATGCTATTGCTAGCAATGGCCAAGGTAATTGGCAGTCGAAAGACTTCACTAGTTATGTGTACGCATTGTTTCCATTCGTCGAAGAAATATTCTCTCTTTCTATACATAAAGTTTGAATCATCTTTGACAATTGGTAGCATAGTTTTGTACGATCTTCTGAAACCCGTATCTAGAAGTGGCAGCAGATCCACAACGAATCTCCACATCATGTAATTGTCTACCACGCTATAAAGTTCGATAATTTCAAATGTAGTATTTATATTACCATTAATTAAATTAATTAATTCATTTTTTTTATATTACCGTACTGTACTAATCTTTAGTACACGGAAAACTACTAGTTTTCCATTCGTTTCTGACCTTTGGAGGCTTAATAAGTCCCGAGTCCGTAGACTGGTATAAAAAATTAAAAAAGGTAAACAGGTTAACAAAGAAAATATAATTTTATTTCTATATAAATATATACTTCACCCCAAATGCATTTCGCCTGTCAAGGCCTCTTCAGTAGGGTTTCTGATGACTAGAGTGTACAATAGGAACAGCAGAAGGTATCTCAGACGACACATTTTTTTCCGTCGTAGACACAGAAGAAGACACATCTTTCTCACTGACACCATCGCGTTTACAATCTTTAAGAAACACAAACTCTTCCCAGCATTCCGCTGGTATCACCCCATTATTCAAATTCATTACATTACTTTGCATAATTATCGCGAAATGTTCTTTAAATTTTCTTTTTACAATATTTTTCTCTTTATGTATTATTTTTACATTATTAATATCTAATTGACAGTT